TCCTCTTCCTCTTGCTATAATTTCAAAAGAATAAGTATTTTAACTACCAGGAATAAGGTTTAATTTTGATCAACATATTCGGCGATACTCGGTCGTCGACCGCGGTGCCCCACCCCTCGCATTGACGTCATTCTCGTGACGTCACAGCTCAACTGGAGAGGCACCCGCCCTAAAAACCAACATCTTAAGAGGCATTGATGCTGAAAAAATTTGCAAACATTTTTATTTGAGCAGATTATATGAACCGTGTTTCTCCTAACACAGTTATTATTTTAAATTATTTAAAAGAAAATTTTATTAATAAGTATAGTAAGTATAATAGACTTGGAGGTTAGTATTAATATAGTCTATTAAATATTATAATGTGAATTTAATTGACCATCATGTACAGAATTAAGTAGAACAAATATTTTTTAACGTTATCTGTTATATAGTTGCGTTTGTAAAATATTTTAGAATTCAAAGAGTGGAGAAAAGTAAATCTTTATTATAATTTAGTTATGCATCTAATTATTACATTACTGATATTCAATTATATAATTAATTTTAATTTTTCTAAAACATGGACTTCGTCTGGAAATCTGAATATTAGGTGGGTGATAGGAATATAGAAATTTCTTCCTGGTCACGAACCACCGTCCACAGATGAAAAGGCCGTCAAGCATAATCGCATTTCAGTTTCAGTCTCTGAATTTCGGAATCCATAGGTCGACAGTGCATCTTATTTGAATTGAATTGAAGTGAACTCCAAGCTTGTCTAATGTTGAATAATTGTATTGTTCATTTATCGAATTCAAACATCTTTATTACATCTGAAGTCTAGATTAAATTTAATCTAGACATTCCTTCCATTGTATATTTAGTATCGTAATTATCATGTCAAACTCGACAACAACTCAACTAGTTTAACATGTTAACATATAACTAATTAACATTTCTCCTCATAAAACAATTTACTTCGAAACATCAAATAATTAACGAACAACATCTAGTAAAGGTTTTTCTCGAAACTGTCTTATTGATTTCTCCTACACAATATTATTTGTTCTGTTACCAACGAATTTAATATCCTATGAAGAATTTATACGACATAGTATGTAATATATATGAGATAGTTTCATTTTATTAACGTTAATCTTGTCGTATCGTCAAACGGATATGTTAGAAATATATAAAATAAATAAAAGCTAAGTCAAAAATTATGTTTAAAAACGCAACATAAAACGCATTAGTCTACCTAATACATACTAAACGTATAAACAATTGTACCCTACATGAAACACAGATATAAGGCCGCTAGAAGCAGAGTAGCCTAACTGCAATTTTATGACTTAAGTAAGACATAAGTATTTCATAGTCTAAAAATGTTAATCTACAAGAGCACAATGACCGAATATGGTTAACATAATTCTTACTATAATAGTGCCAATTCATTTTTCCCTAAGTTTAGTGCGCCTTTTTTTTCCTCCTTATTGAAAATCATGTTTTTTGTTCTTAGACCACTCTACTTCTAGCAGTCTTATATAAATATATGCTGCTATAATCGATTTTGTTTACTGGGAAATACTTGATTAGTCATCTGCACTGCCCACCAAAAGTTTTATTATGTTTTCCTTGATTAAGGAACTTCGCGATCAGGTTCTATGTAACGCGTTACCTATTAAAACTCGGAGGTAGGAGAATGTATCATGTCTTATAAATTCCAAACATTTATTTATTTCCATACCAATAAGTAGTTAATTATGTCACTTTGTTAAGTGGGCAGGTAAGCTTAGTTATGTAGCGTTCGTAGCGATGCCTACGGCGTAGCAAAACCGAGGGCCGTGTCTTTGAAATAAATACATGACACACATAATCACTGTTAAGTAGATTTAGTAGTAATAGAACACTTTTTACGGTTTTAAACGCGAAATATATTAGTAACTTATTTTTAATTGGCCCACCGTGCACACAGGTGCTGTTAAGCTTCCGAAACGTCTGGGCATAGGTAAATTAAATGTATTTATTTTTACATAAGCTTTACATTTCGTTTCAATACATTTAAGATACTTATAGCTAAACTGTATTTGGAATTCAGCTACCAGTGGTTCATTAAACGTTTTTCTGTATCAATCGTGACATATGTAATATCTTTGTGAAAGTAAAACACAGTGACGATACGAGTGAGTTCAAGAACAAAACTCAACTACTTGTGACGCACTTAATCAGCCAATATGTGATGTAGAAGTCACATTACAACTATACATTTGCATTTTTAATCCGATACATTTTCGTTATATATTCTATAGGCTTTGACAATCTCTTAATGTAATTTTTTAACAGTATGTTTTTGTCATAGACGATATTTGTCAACTCGTTTTCTAGTATTGGTCTTAACTTTTGAATACTTAGACCTGAAATGAATTATGCATTTTTACCCCTACGTCACGACCAACTGTGTTGTTTTAAAATATAACTCTCATTTCCAACCACAATGCACACTGTATTTGTGTGAAACAATCTGAAATGCCATAATTACGGATATAAAAATATTATATGACGTTTAGGGTAGGTCCAGTCGCATAGCTAAAAATCGATTAAGGTCTAAAGCGAATTTGAGGTCTATCTGAAGAGTCCTCTTAGTTTTTGAGTTCGTGGGGTGCGCATGCGCGGGCCGGGGCACGCTATGACGTCACGACGCGCCCCGGGAACCAGGCGGCGCGCCAGTGCGTCCCGCGGCCGCGCCACTGTACGCTCGCTAGAACCGCGCTCCAACCCGATGAACATACAATAACAGTCTATAACCCCCCTTATTATGCAGCCATATGCTTTGTGACGAGACCTTTACCCCGTGTGCAGCCCTTAAGTATTTATAGTTGTAGCTATATCGCATACATTCGTAGATAATAATTCATTCTATGCCATATTACTGATTGAACATAACCTCAAATTCCCGCCATGCCATAAATAATGTACATGATACTTTAGTAGATGGTAGTAGAGTTCAAAATAGCATCTACTTGACACAGATAAAGTACATAATACATTTTTGCATATTTTTAATTAGCACTATTATACCGGCACAGTTTATTTGCATAGACTATATTTTATTTGCATTTAAATATTTATATAGCATATTTGCATATTGCGGTAATATTGCTTTCTTTATGTTTCGGCTAAAGCAATAGTGTTTCTGTATTAATTAAAATGTATTTTTTTACAAGTATCTCGCTTTTATACGCTTTACTATTAGTATTTCATTTTAGGTATTACGAAACTAAATAAAAACAAAGATGTAAATATCACATTAATGGATTTACCAAATCTTTTTATGACTCTATAGTATCCTGATTTTTATAAATACAAGGGAATATCATATTTGCTACAGACCCACCTTTTAAAACTTTTATATTTCTTCATAGATACATACAGCTTGGGCTTAAATTAAATACTTTTCATAATATATGAATTATACAGGTACTAAACATAGAATGGACAAAGATAAAAGATGGCGAACAAAATTAGTTATCGCTGTTTATATAAAGCTCATTATCCAAATAGGCCCTAAAAGACTTGTATTTATTAAGAAAACAGAACACAAATATCTTTATCGTGTAGTTATACTGAATTTGTGCGCCATACGTTACTACGCTGTATCCAATTCCGTCTCTACAGCTTTGCCCTTGAGCTTATTACGAGATACGCTGTACTGTTCTACATAATAGAATCTAACCATAGATTTTTCGAGTGCCATTTTGGTATGGTGGTATATGCAATCAATTTCGTGGGACAAATTTGGTCTTCGTTTGTTCAATTAAAGAGTATGAACATCTAATCCAATACACGTGGTGATCGATGGAGAACACGATATAAGAAAACTAGCATGCCCTAATTAAAAAGTGTTATGTATACGTCATATCTAAATTCCAATTTATGTAGCGTTTATTGAAGCCTCCTATGAGACTGGCTGTGCTAACTATTAAACGGTTAGGGATAATAAATTCTATTTCATTCTATTTGATTGTTTACTTTACGATCATAAACACATTTATATTTACATAACCGAAATTCTAATTATAGCTATTTATATATTTTTCCCTTTTTCTAGTTAAGTTCAATTCCGATCCTTGTACAGTCTTTTCATTGGTTGGATAAGGTCGAGGTTATCAACAGTAACAGATTTTTGAAACACAACAAATATATTTAATTAAGAAAAATGACTACAAAGAGAGTATTTTTTGGATTAATGTTTTACTCTAGACGTTGATATATTTTTAGGTAAATAAAATATGTAACTAGGTAGAAAACTCAATATTTCTTTTTTCTATTCGAAATTTAAAAACATTGCTTTGTAGTTCGTAGCAGAAAACAGTCGTGCTCGTGTAGACGTTCATTTGAAACCCTTTTCAATCTCACCTTCGTATCAACCTATACAAGGCTTATTTTACTTTCAAGTCCTTAGAAATACATTCTCAAAGGACACAAAGGATACTATGATGCACGCTTAGCATGCCGCTTGCGTCACATCCACGCTCAAGAAAACTCATCTTTATTTGCAATTCATATGATTCTTAAGTATTTTCTTTTACAAGCTCATTGCAACGAAAACAAATTGTTCTTCAATATTCAATCACATAGAATGATAATTTAAAAAATCATTATGCGTTATATGAGGCCGTAGAGACAGAGGAGCCTATCTGCAATTTTATCACTTGACATATATATATTTTTATATTCTAATAATGTTTTTCTAAAAGAGCACAGGGACCGAAAATTGTTAACATTTTTTTTCACTAATAAAAGTAGGTACAAATCATTTTCGCCTAAGTTAATTGCGCCTTTTTATTTTTTCTCCTTATTGAAAACCCATGTTGTTATTAGGCCACTTTGCCTCAAGCAGCCTCATATTACTTACCTCTATAGACCGTTAAGGAGGTATCATGGGAATATTTATTATTTATTGGGATTTATTTTTATCATCTGTAAACTATTTTTAAATCGTGCTGAAACATAAGCCCAGTTTACACTAAAATCTCGTCACAAAGCATCAATTGCGTATCCATTATAGATCTCATTGGTCTTCGGATGCCAGTCTTTTTTGAACTGATGAGATCCGAATATGGGTTACTAAGTGCTTTCAACGGAGATGGTGTACGCCGTTGTCGTGGATAACCTGGCTTCATGTTGAGTGAGTGAGAGAAAGCGCACTGGGTGGAGGAGGGTCGCGGCACACCGGCTGTGATGCAATGGGCCAAGAGTGGTGCTTCCGAAGAAAGAGGAAGCGGAGTAGCAGCCAGGATGACTCCCAGACGCATCACACCCGGTAAATATTTGACTGTACGCCGAGGTTTACGTTAAAACAGTCATCAAACGAGATACAATGTTTTCAATTAACTTTGTAGTATTTAAGGCGAATTTGTTTAAGTTTATTTAAATTGGTCGCAATGTTATCTAAAGATATACGATTGATGTCCATTTGAGAGATCGTAAGTACGATTCCCCGTTAGAGCACACACAAATCTGTATCTCTCATTGTAGATCCTAAAATTTTTTTTTTTTTGATGAGAATGTATAAAGAACAATATCGTGAAGAAATTTTCGAAACTGGAAATTTGGTCAGTAGTCTAGTTACCCTATGTACAATTACCTAGCTATTGCTTTGCATTTATAACGTTAGACGATGTCTATTATATGTGTACCTGGCTGTGGTTTACGCGAGCAAGACACTAATAACATATTAAAATAAAACACTTTTAATGGTTTAAGACGCGACCCGACGTTTCGTAGTTATGCAGCAGCCACGATCACGGGGGTGTGGTTATAATAAATTGTATTTCATGTTTTAAACCGTTTCATTTAAATATGTAAAGAGTGTTCTACGGCAACGTCATAACTGAATATCTAAAATTAAAAAAACGCAGTTGATAATATGCTATTATATTATTTTATACTCCTTAGTTATATGATCTAAAAATTGTATTAATGAAAATATATCTATGTAAATTTTTCAAGATATATTTCTTCCATAAGCCCTATATAGCGTAAAAGGCGTTTTAGTGAAGTGAGCCGTCTCACTCCTGTAATAGCGAGCCGAGATAAGCTCAGGTGTTACGGAGATCTAGTTACATGATAGCTGTATTAAAAGCGATCTATCCTTTAGGCTGCGGCCGCATATAAATGCCATACATCGCGTACATTGTTACGTTTATAGCAATATATTGTTGTTTCCTTCCTATCTTTGTAGAAACTTTGCGATGTCTTTAATTAAATTATATTTATTATATTAGCTTATTTTTGTTGAATACAAGGTCTTATCTCGTAATGTGAAAATCAAGTCATTCAAAAATCATTTATCCACATAGATATATGTACATTATAAATGTCACACCAGTTAACTAAAGTCTCTAAATTTTTTAGTTCTGAAATCAAGAGCCACATCAGTTTTCTCGTACTTTTACTTGTTAGAGCGGGTTCTTTCAAACCGCAAGTAATATGTATGGTAAAATAATTCATCACAATAATCAATTTACGTTATAATAACACTTGCTAAGCAGTTCTTCATAAGCACCATGCACTAACCTTTAAAATGTAATTCTAAGCATAGTGAAATACTTTGTGTACTTTACGCGTGTAGTACACATTTAAATAAAACACTTTTAACGGTTCAAAACGCGATGTGTATGATGCTGTATCATGCTTTGTTGCAAGGCATCCGAAGCGTCGGACAGTAGTTAAAATAAGTTTAACTAATACATTTCACGTTTTAATCCGCTAAAAGTGTTTTATTTAAAAGTAAGCATAGTGCCGTACGTACAACCTATATTAGTTTATAACCTTAGGCGTGTTGAAGTGTAATCACATTGACTACATACGATACAAACCAATAAGATACAATTATCCACTTACGGTGAGCTAGGGACGTTTTCTTACACGCTTTAATGGGCCATAAACTTGCACTGAAAAAGTTGAGGTGTATTTTTTCATGAGTTTATACTACTACTAGTATACGATGGGTAGTAAAATTTATTACGATTTTTGAGTGGTTTTACTTATATGTGCTAAGGTTGGAATTTGTTCTTTATCTTCAACGTGTTTTGTACTTAAGTCGCTGACTTAGCTAGCTAACTATATTTCTCGTCTTAAACCGTTAAACGTGTTTAAATAATGTAAACCGCTCTCGTAAATGACATGTATGGGTGATTCGTGTCTATCCATTTATTTTATTTACGTCACACGATCAATTACTGAATTATTTACCATTTACAAGTGAAATGTCCTAAAGGTTGAGTGCAGCGGAGTGAAGGGCGCTGACGTCACCGGTCAAGTTCAAACAACACGTGCTCATGACGTGCCAAACCGCTTATTTCTACATTCGCATTTGCACAACGACGAAATATGGAACTCATTTTTTAGTTTTACGCATATTTTGTATGAGGCTGCTAGAGGCAGCGCGGCCTAACAACAAAAACATGATTTTTCAATAAGGGAAAATAAAACTGCGCAATTAACTTAAGCAAAAATGAATTTGTACTATTATTTGTGTAAGGTTTATGTTAACAATTTTCGGTCATTTTGCTCTTGTAGAATTACATTTGTTGTAGACTATAAAAATATAAATAACTCAAGTCATAAAATTGCAGTTAGGCTACTCTGCCTTTAGCGGCCTCATACCACAAAAAATTAACTGTCTCTGGTTTACGCGAGTAATACCCCGTGACCAAGGCAAAGCATCTGAAACGTCTGACAGTACATATAATTAGTGAATAAATTTTACTAATACATTTCGCGTTTTAAACTGTTAAAAGTGTTACTGTTAACTTAACTCAGTTGACGAAGTAACCTACCACCTGGTTCGTCCAGTAGTTACTATAGCCGATTAGTTCCAGGGTTCGAATCGAAAGTTGGTTAATCGAACCAGGTCGGTACAAGTTATAACCAAATCAGTAAAGTTATGGAAAAGTCCTAAAATTGTAGACACTATCTGGACGTTCAGCGGGTCCGTGGTAATAGATTACCGCTGAGCATTCGGGTTCAAGCCCTACCTGTGACATAGATTTTATCAAACCTCAACGCTTTTCCATTTTTAAACATTATATCAAATTAACTGATGTTAAAAATATTTATTTACGCTTCTTTGATTAACAAAAGACCGTATAACGTCTTCTATTTGAATTTGAAATAATTTTAAGTAAAACTTGTTATTTTTTATCAACCTACCTACTACCTATATCTTTCGAAGTTTTTAATCCACGGCATTAATCAATATACATACGTCATAGAGACATTACTGCACGCTAATAATGATAAATTATTTTATTACTAATGGTTTTACAGAAATTGATTGTATCTAACAAAATCAATTAAATTTGACATTATCATAATCTAGGGGGTAATGTTTAACATATAATCTTGTACAATTCATTGAAATAATAATCAAGATTTCACTACATAACTACTAAACAAAACTTCATGTGAATGAAATAATTGTTATGGTTTAAAACATGAAATTTATTTTTAACTAACAAAGAATAATAATCTACGAGTATATTTGACGGCATAAACTTATAATTGTATCCCTATGGCTACATAATATAGGAAAAGCATACAAGTATGTCTGGTTTATTACAGATTTTAGTTACAGCTAAGAAGTTTTTTTGTGCCTTACCGAAACTATTAGTTATCTTTTTACCTAGCAAACGAAGTATTTCGATAAAATTTGTTTCCCATGAAAACGGTTCTTGCGGGTTGATCTTAAAAAAGTCATATAGTGTTGCGAACATTTATTTTGATTTGTATAAATATGAATTTATAGTAACATGCTAAATATAAATAAATTTAAATGTTTACTTTGTGCATTTAAAGATGTAATCCGGAAACGACGCGGCCACCTTATACACCCGTACCGACCTATTATCGTATGGAAATCGATAATTACTTCCATGACGTCCTAGTGTATGACCTCGATCAACTCGACGGCAATCAGCTCTTAAAATCATTTTAAAACTTGCTTATAACCCGGCAGCGACGTGCAGTTTCGTCAATTCATGTAACGAGACAACTTTTTCACACATTTTTTTTTGTTTTTCACATGTTTTTGCACATGATGATAAGTGTAATATTAAAATTATATTTAAAATGTAAAGAATTCGAATACAGGCGGGACTTAAACCGGCATCCAAACAGTTCTGTGCTGCTTCTCTAACTACGGTACCTCAATTGTTTTTTTATTATAGATGTGGACAGACAAGCTTGCTGGTTACTTGATAGAACCTCTTTGGCTTTAGATATTCGGAAATCAAAAAAACTGAAACCTAAAAGCGATTACACTTCACGGCTAGTTCTGTGGGCAGTAGTTTACCATTTGCTTAAAATACTGAGCCGGTTTGAATGAACGATATCAAACGATTCGTAATAAGATCATATGATGTAGGTTAGAATTGAATTACAACATTAATATTTTTATTAACATATATTTGAATTTAAACCTAACTGAAAAGTAAAATACTAAATCCTTGTAGTTAATGTTCGTACTAAATATAACGTTTTTTTTTATCAACTACAAGGACAATCAAACTACAATGTTTATTCCTTGTATTGGAAAAACATAAGCTTGTATAAATACTGTAATCTACAATTCTAGGTAAAAATATCGATGCAAAGTAGTATATTAAAATAATACAATATTGTATCTTTCTGTATTCATTAGGATGAAGCACCTTTATAGCATGAAGCTGAAATCAGGCGTGATTCGCAGCCAACTTCACTCTGTTCGGTTGACCTATAAACTAACGCATGTGTTGAGTGGAATTGATCCTTGAGACGAGGCGTTAGAGCTTCTGTACAGTACCACGTTGACTTGCGTCGTTTCCTACACGATGGTTGCGTGATGGCACAGTACATAATACGAACAGTTTTGATAGTTTAACTTGACACATCTAAATTTGAAAATCATGTTTAATTACGTCATAAAACTACCGTAGCGTGCTGCTACATGTGTTTGTAGGATTTTGTACGAATTCTTTGCGTAGTATAGCCGTGTGAAAGCTAAATCGATTGTTTTAGAAACTTGGGAATACTGCTTTTGTGTTGCCAACTGTGGCACCGGCGTACGCATGCGGTTCACCCCCATTCGACCCCCGGCAAAATGGCGGTGCCAACATGGCCGCCGGGCAGCCGCAAGATGCTCCGTAACGCCGCTTCTGACCGAAACACCGTCAACACGATTCCCCACCGGGCTCTACACTTTGACACGGCCGAAGTTATCTCTCGCGTCTTCGATTCGTTCGCTGTGCGACGCGCCTCTCGCGAATTACGCGTGCAACAAGTGACATTTCGAAACCTAATACACGACGTACGCGTATCACTAGTGTTATAGTGGGCAACAAATAGTCGGGTCGTTTCTCCGCTGGCGCGGGCCAGTTATAGTGACGTCGAGCGACGCACCGACGTACCCCGCGCCGGCCGAACGTCAACAGTGGCGCGTCACACGGCCATGCACCTAACCAATATCTGTTGATTGAGGAAACTATCTTCATTGATAATAGCTCGCCAGCCGATCGATTTCGATGTGACCCAATTCTGTTATTTATTACGACGGACAAAAGTGCTCTTTACCGTGATGATGGATATATCATTACAATCACGCGTCGTAATGGTCAGTTGAGTTGCGGTCGGCGGTCGCTCGAGTACTGTTCGACGTCGCTTGCACGTGTTCATGCTTAAATTATGTAGTGAGTTGTATCGGGACCTCGTGGTATCATGACGTAGATTTGAACTGATGCGTTGGCGACGAGGTCTAGTGTGGAGGGCGGGTGGGCCGGCGTTAGCTGGATAGACGATATGTTAACGTTTGTGTTCGCGGTATGGTCAGCGGCGCGCGCGCTCGGCTGGCCGTGCGAGACCCTCGCGACGTCGCCAGAAGCTGAGGATGTACCAGTGCTACCTCGTCTCCGTTCGTCGCGAGCGTCTAGCGACCTGTCAACGTTAAGCACGACCACCACTAGTTCTAGTCAAACCAGTACCGGAGATCATTCGAAGAGGTCCACTTCACTAAATCTATACACACTACAAACATGTACACAGTACAAATGAATAAAACCTATACCTAATAATGAACAGCGTAATAAAATACACTTTTAAGTAAACTAAAGTAATCTTATGTTGTTCCTAAAATTACACTTAGATATACCAAATTATATAAAAACACGGAAAAAAGATCGACAGGGCACATTAGGCCGCAATAATAATTTTAAAATTCATAAAAATCCAATAATATTTCCTGTATACATTAATAATCATATAATTTTGCACTATTTTACTATAACTATGTAAAAAAATAATCAACGTGACTATTACAATTTTAAAACAAATATAATTTTAAAAAGTAATCAAGAATAGCAAAAAATAGGAAATATTTGATATCATAATAGTTATAGATTTCTAGTGTTTATCTGAGAATTATCGCTTAACAACAACATAATCTTTAACAACATAGAATAATAACTCGACACACACGTACGTACGTCTTATTTGCGAATAAATTGCTAAAGATTAAATGACTTTGATGACGGTACAAGGCCGGGACGAACATAGTAATAATTATTTCACATTTGATATGTCATATAATTGACTTCATTTCTATCACACACCATAATCTATGTCGTTTCGTGGATTTGAGAAGTAATATACGACACGCTTACGATTCGAGTGTCATCTTTTTTTCAATTGTTATTTGTGATTTATAATAGTGTATCAAACAAAGTCTAATACAATTTCAACCGTTTAAAACCCGTTTATTAATACGTTTACTTTTACCTACGACCCGACGTTTTAGATCCTAACGGTAGGAAAACGTGAGTCGTAACTAAAATAATGTCACTAATATATTTCACGTTTGAACCGTTAAAAGTGTTTATTAAGATAAATGACTAGTTTTGGTTTTAAACGTTTGTTTTCTTTTTAACTAATTGTTTTTCACGTAAAACAAAAGACTTCAATCTTAAATTAAAATTTATGCCCACGGATACCTACGTATTTTGATTAAGTAACATAGAAATTGTGTAATAAATATTTTTATAAATGTTAGGTCGTCGTTTGTACGTATCGAATTAAGAATCTAGTTTCCCAAAATCGGGTAAATGGCAATAAAAGATATTCAAATTAAATACTCCTCAGAGGAATTAAAAAACAATATGACTTTAATAAAACAATCGCCTTTAAGAACCAGTTTACAACTCCTTCACGTAAGATTACTTATAATAAACAACCATATTAATATTTTGACATTGAGCAACTTGTGAAAGTTTTGTCAACGCAGATAAAAAACCAGAAATTCAGTGCCCGCATGTATCAATAACAAATTTAGCGAGATTAACAATTATCTTATAAGCTTGTTGAATAATAAATTATTTTGATAAAGTGGCATATTAATCCTATCGTTACGTTGATTCTAATGCCAGTTGCTTAGATATAAAACTAATACGGATATATTTAAGTAAAATACTTTTACGGTTTAATACGTGTTAAAAATCATTTTCAAATAAATTTAACTAATATATCGCGTTTTAAACCGTTAAAGTGTTTTATTTAAATGTGTACTACTCGCGTTAATCATAGACAGTATTTAACACAGATATACTTATATCTGCACAGATAAATAATATTTTTATATCTGCGTTGGTTTTATACGTATTTACAAATATTATCTGTGTTAGTTTTGAGTCGGAGTTCTAAAGGATGTTGGTTCAGTAATTATGATCTTTCGAGTGCGGAAGGTGTCTATTTTATATCAATACTAATGTAGTGATCGTCCCGCTATTTTGCCCCGCCAAACCGAAGTTGTTAAGCGTGGTGGGTCTAGAAATCCTCTCCTGAAAGAGCATACGCGCCTAGTAGTGGGACAATAATATGTTGAAACGAAAAATCTACAGAGTAAACACAAAAATTAATATTAATTAACCATTATTGAAGATAATAATATTAGACGATGTTATTATCTACTAATAAATAATGAAGATGTAATTTGATATACTTCCCTTCCTAATAAATTCGATATCGGAAAACGGCCCCGCTTCCTATTAATGAAACGTAATATAAATATTATTAATGGTTCGTATATTTACTAGGACTGTAGACAAATGACGAGTGCTTTTGTTATATCTGGTTATTTATTAGAAGTTAATAATCTGAAATGGATCTTGTATAAACATGCGCATCCTGTACCGTGTCGGGTCGTGGGTTTCAAACTCGCACGCCTCATTATTTTTTTTAAGTACAATGAAAAATAAAATGTTAGGAAAATTGTGTCTGCGACAACAATGAGTGTTGTATTAATTTCTTTTTATTAAATAAAATATTACATTAAAAAAATCTCAGGAAAATTGTGGCCATGACAATTCACGTGGTTAACGGTCCATTAAATTAACAGCTATGTAATCTCATCTAACGATTAGGTGTTATGTTTACTTACGCATCATTAAATCAAATCAAATGAAATAATTTATTCCACTTATAATGAAACAAAAAAAAATACAATATCTAATAATAAATGAGATACAATACAGACAGTGAAACAAATTGTAAAAAATTACATCGCGGGCAGGACTTGAACCGGAATCCAAAACAAAAAGTTTTTAGTGATTTTCATATATTAGTTTAAATTTGTTGTATTGTACTTATCTCACTAACTTACTATTATACAGGACAAGAAACATTTTTGACACAATATGTCGTTGTCTCAATGTATCTTTAATATTTCTTTAGTACTTTAGTGATATAAAATAAAGTACCCCGTTTAACGGGTACATACGCGAAATAATCAATTTAAAACTGACTTGACGTTTAGGATGATTTCAGAAAACGTAGAGGTTAAAAATAAATTCCTTATTTAATTCGCTTTTTCAAACGTTAAAGGCGTTATGTTTAATCGTATCCCGAGATCGCTATTGCTCTTCTACAAAATGTTTATGAACTGTTACATTTATCGTCTCGAAATAGGCCAATGGCCTCTGAAAACTTCATAAACATATCGATATATTAAACATTCTTTCACTCAAACTTGAACAGTATGATTTATTTATTCTTCAGTTTTAATACTGCGCGTGAGTTTTGAGATTTCGGCATCGCTCAGCAATGATTCTACGTATTGTAAGCTTTTATTTAAAATTGCAGATTCGCAGAGAATAACTATACAAACTTCTTGACTTTAAGGGTTTAACTATGAAACACACCACATTTTACTTCAATATTTTTTCATTATTATTCAGTGTCGTTTTAAAAAGTGTCCTGAAATAATCTAATTTACAACGTATACACATATGCGATATAATGAAGAAGTTAGTTAGTATTGTAGTACAGTGTACGGCTTGTAAAAAAAAATACTCAATGCATTTTTTTCTTAAATAAAGCAACTACGTAAATAATAGCGTTGAGCATCTTTTAAACATTACTATACAAACACAACACCAAATACAAGCAGTTATGGCAACTAGTGGTGGTCGTAGCTGATCGTAAATTTAATGGGATCCAGGTGGAGTGAAGCTCCAAGAAGATGGAGTGCAAGAGGCGCCTCCCGAAGACCTTTGCGGAGGCAGCCTGTGTCCGCTAGAAGACGGACAACCGGCAGGTATTAGAATGTCCACACATGGCTGTGAAAGTTTACCTTATAAATATAAATGTTATAACGTTGAACATATTATCCCTCTTATACTGTCTGTTTACGTGAGAGATGTGTTAGCCTTATTCGAAACATCAAGGTGTAGTTATAGTTATACATCGCGTTTTAAACCGTTAAAGCGTATTTTTAAATATCCCTCTGAATTCTGAAGAACAATCTCTATTATGTAGTTCTATTTTTTTCTGAAAGGTGGTACACGAACTGTGAATTGAACCAAGCCATATTGTTTTATTTTTCGCATAAGGTGTCGGTTCGATTACCGCTTTTAACAAATTTCAGTTACTGTTGTTAGTATGTTTACTTAGTTGAGTTGACTCATAGAAAATTGCTAATAAATTCGATTTGTCTGTACATACTTAAAGCGAGTAGTATTTATATAAATATAAAAATGCAAAAGTGATTACCTATATTAAACTTATTTTATCTACGTCAACAACGTCGGGTACGTTCCAGATTACAACAGCCGTGTTCACGGGCTTTAAGTGATCAAATTCACGTTTTAAACCGTTACAGTTATTTATTTAAATATGAATAATTTGGTAAAGATTTAAAAACTGCGTCAGAAGGGAATGCTTTACCGGCTCTAATCAAAATCATTTCATTAATATCTACTGCATATTCCCATTATATCTATACTAATATATAAAGCTGAAGAGTTTGTTTGTTTATTTGAACGCGCTTATCTCAGGAACTACTGGTTTGATTTGAAAAATTATTTTCTTTTTCATTGGAGCATTTATGGAGGAAGGCTATAAAATATTATGCTGTGACTAAAAGGAGTGTAGAAACAGCGGAAAATGCGGTAACAACGGGAAAAATATTCATCGTTTCCGATGCGGACGCTGCGAAAACGGTTCAAGACTCACAAAAAAAGATGTATCAGAGAATGATTCTTTAAATTATCAAACAAAATGTCACAGTTTGTGTCTATCTTTTAAGATAACCTCGCAAGAACGTCGGAAACCGAACGACGAGACGCGACCGATGTCCTAGGACAGTTTGCAAAAACAATTTCAGATGCCCAAAATAACTATTTTACGCGGACGTTTAAAACGCGATATATTAGTTAAACTTATTTGAAAATGATTTTTAACTTCGGCCCGACGTTTCGGATGCTTTGCAGCAGCCGTGATCACGGGGAGACTAAAGATGGAGGATGTCTCTGACGTCAAAGTAAAAAATTGCTACGCTAGCGCCATCTGTTCCGTCGAAGTTGGTATTTGGCGAACCTGGCCGGGTCCTTGCAGAATTTATCGCGTTTTAAACCGTTAAAGTGTTTCATTTAAATGTGTACTACTCGCGTAAACTATAGACAGTATATGTTTATATATTCATTCTTTTTCGTAGCACGCGTCAATACAATATTGCGTACAGTTACAAGTTATACATTCCGTAATTTACTATTAAGACAATAGGTGTCGAAGAACTCTATCCCTTAGCGCCATGACACCTAAAAATAGCATTAAATAAGTCCGACTGAATTAGCGCATAAATCATCAAGTTATTACTGCCCGACTGTGACGCAATACTTCGCAATTGTAGCTATATCTAATGAAGGATAATTATAGTAGACATGCACGTTCCCTCGTGATAACTAATTTGTTACGTGTTACTATGCAAGTAGGGTCTTTAATTTGTTTAGTTAACTATTACATAGTTAAGTGCGAGAGGTCGTGAGTTCGAATCTTGGGGAAAAAATAATAGGTTAGGCTAATGCTTGCTGTACATAATAGAGATCAGTCAGATCAAACAGATAGAGGATTCTGACTATGAGATTTTGAGATAGGAAATATTCACTACTAGTTCCATATAATACTAGTACTTACATTTTGTAGTGAAATGGAGTTATTTTTTCTAACATCGAATTAATGTTTAGAAATAGACGATTTCGTACGGTTTTTCTACTTCATAGTAAAATATTATTTTGGGTTAACTTATAAGATACATACATAAACTTAATGTATGTCAGGCTCTCCTTCAATTAATTTATATTTAGTTTATCCACTAAGTTTTTTTAATATATTAAATATAATTTATATAACATTCACTTGACAATAAAACTCGCATTGTGTATACTAATCTCGTGAAAAAAGATCTAGATTTTGATTAAGGAAAATGTCTCACCGAATTAGGAGACGTTTCACTAAATCCGCGTGGTTTCTGATAACAAAGAACACGAACGATCCGGGCCTAGGGTTAAATTCCCTAACTTTGCCGACACATCTTCTGCTTGAGCAAAATTGATGACTGCCCAAAATTCAGGATATGTAATTGGACCCAAATATATTCCAGACATAATAGCGTAATACCACTGTCATCTGACTTAACAAAGCAATTGTTTGAGTTTCCAAACACTGTTGTTAATTGGGAAGACCTTCTTTCCCAAGAGAGTATAGATAGCTTAAGAGTAAATACAACTCTGTTCGTTTATTGGTTTCAAGCAATATTCATGTTTTAAAATAAAGTAAAGACTTTAAAAAAGCCTTAAGATTAATGTCGTTTTGAATTAAACAGAAGGGCACTTAAATTTCAGGACTTGGTGAGGTATATTAGTATAAGTATAATAAAGTTAAAATGTTAAGCTTTGTTAATCTTTTCTTTGAGTATCATACAACGGAGACCGCTTAGAAATATTTAATAATAAGCCAAACACATTTTATACATTTTCAGAGGAAACTATAGGCTAGAATAACATAACTTTTGTAAATGTTTTGTTTGTTGTTTATATTGGGAACATTATCTTGAACTTTGTACGCGTACGTGTAACAATAGCGTATTATTATATTTTATCTATGGGTAAGCGTGAAATTTTCCCACAAGGTCAGGCAGCATCTACTACTTACTAGGCAAAATTGCTGTAGATCGTTTGTTGAATACCTACATTAAGGTAATAACTTCATCTAATATCATAACAAAGCATTACTTGCAAAACAACAAAGTTGTGTAAATTTTGGTATTTTGGCCTAAGTTTTTTAATCGTTTACTTAATTTTTTTTTAATTGCTTACTAGAATTAGAAAAATACAACAAAGAAAACAACAATTATCATTGTAACAGGGTATACAGATTATTATAGTCTTATTTACTTTTGTGATACAGCGACACCTAACAGAAAATATCATAAACTACAACAGCTTCATAAGGTAGAGTATACGCATTGTATTGTTTTGAAAACGAAGGATAGATGACGCTAGTAACTCCGTATAAGTGTTTTTGTAAATTTCTACATGATTTTGTTTTAAGTTACTTAATAGTGACCTAATTGAGAATATATTTGTAATTAAAACATGTTTAATAGGTGATGTTGTGAATCGCATTATCTCTGTGTAAACAAAATATAATAAACCTGAACCTGAACGACTTTCAATAATTTTATGTATTAAAATTACAAACAGCACAATTGCCAGCTTTTTATTGCTAAATAAGTATAGGATAAATAAAGTTATTTTTTATATAAACTGATGGCGATTTTATACGAAATTTGCTTACTTGAAAAACGAATATTATCTTTAGGTAGGTATATAGTGTTAGGTATATTGTACCTAAGCACATAGATTATACTCTAGTGGACATATTGTATAACTTTTATAATATTATAAAGGTGTAATTAAAAACTCGAAATCCACAATAGAAGCTAACTAGACCTTTTGTATTGTTTCAGCTTCGATGTGGAAAATGGCGGGGCGGGCGGAGGGGCGGGCGGCGCGCGGTCTCCGCTCGAGGGCGGCTCGCCCTCTGCCGCCCTCGTGTTGCAGTCCCTGCCGCAGCGCCGCGAATCCTTTCTCTACCGATCTGACTCCGACTTCGAAATGTCACCTAAGTCCATGTCTAGGAACAGCTCCATTGCCAGCGAAAGGTGAGTTACTACTACTATACTATAGTAGTAAAATTACTTTTAAACCTAGTCTAGTCTAGTCAGGCTATACGTCCTATTCTATATACATTATAAATATAGAACATTACTATCATGGCAAGCCATAAAACACTATATGTTTGAGGAAAAATATACAGTTTATGTTATAAACAAATTGACTTTAAGACTGTACATAGACGATATAAATAAAATTGGTAACATTATCAAAAGTATATTAATCTACTGTGAGGAATTGAAATATGCTTTGGTAAGCAAGATGTTTTCTTACATATAGGTTTATTCATATAATAACATAGATTATTATATTGTATTTATCTTTTAATCTACACTTATAACTATTATCTATAAACTCGAGCATTACTTAGGCCAAAATAGAACACAAATTTCCTAGAACAAGCACGATTCTTGCGTTATTAAAGAGGAGTTTACAATCACATTTAAGATGCGCAAAAACTAAATGTTTTAACTACCTATCTATACTTAAATTTTATAATATTGATCATTTTTTATTGGCATAGAACCTCCAAAGAGTGAAATATGAATATTACAATAATTTATGACCAATTTCTTACTCCACAAATACTTACATGTTTAATTTTATTGATACAGACATGCATTATTGGCACTAACATTCTTGCTGTTGCGTTCTTGTCAACTATATCTGTAAATAATAAAACACTTTCCTTGTATTGTCGTGATTATTACAGAAATATTGAATAACATAGATAACAATACAATCGATACATCTTAGTAATAAAATATACACTCGTACTTGCTTAGAATTGAAATTGTTTATTTATTTTATACACAATGTTACAGAAATATATTTTTAATAACGTGTTTTACCAAAAAGATTTAATTGCAAACATTTTTCTTTTCCAACAAATCAATTTTTGGGCAAAAATTAAAATATATATTTGTGAGTAACAGAGGTATATACGAAATAGGTACAAATTTGATATAAACACTGGATTGGAAGTTAAAATTGTGGTCGCCGTGAATTCAGAAGTGAAAGATCAATATTTTTTAAGAACTCGGGTGGTTCAAGTGTTCTTCATACCTCATGAAGTTATTTTTACGGTGCCGTGTTGTCGAGGCTATTCAAAACGATATCGTTCACAAAATAATGAAGCCTACATTCGCTTTGGACATTTTCTAAAATCTGATTACTGCCTGTAAATTTGTAAAAGGTTTTTATATGAAATGGTAGTTAAAGTTTTTAATTTATTAATTAAAATATTAATAGCGAAACTTTATCATCATGGTTCACAAAAGGCTAACCGCTTAAATTAAAGAGGATAAAAAATAATTAACAGCGGGATTCGTAAACGCTTTGGCTTTAATAAGCAAGTTAAATCTGAAGTAAATTTTTAAAAATTATAATTTAGTCTTGATTTAGAAATTAAATACCGCACTTGCAACGGTTTTAAACGCGAAATAACTATATTTACAGACATGTGATTGGCGTGGTATTAACAAAATTGTATATTAACATTATTATCATTTTAACAAATCATAACAATCGTTTATTGATATTTATTGCGCAAATAAACATATCATAAAACTTAAATAAACTAAGACGAAGTTTAGTTATGTAAAAAGCCCTTTTAATGTTGTGCTAGACTAACAAGTAGAGCTTTCTCACAAACAGCCAACAACACATTGGCGATAGCATGTGAAATGGGAATGCCCGTCCCTAATGTTCTAGACCAACGATGGGCATCTCTTGCTTACCTATTTTTTTTTCTATCCCAATTTCTATGGAATTCCCTTTTGTTTGGTGTGATCTGTGATATTCCTATACAATGATATGAGAATCTGGATACCTTTAACCTTCATGCTATTGCCATCACCACAATAGACAGCCACTACACAATCCAGAGAAGCCTAGTGTAGGTTTCGTAATTAATAAAAACGTTGGAGGCACTTTGTTCTGCGGTTCGATTCATAAGTGCTAATTACTGTGAAGTATTCGATAGAGACGCAAACATACACTTCACTTAGATGTGTTAACATTTTAATTAGTTAAATACATACATTTCACGGTTAAAAATCGCGAAATATATATACATTCTTGGGTTTTCGACCAATTATTCAGAATTGTTTTTATCTACAATCTGAGAACGTGTGGACTAAACATGGTGGACAGATACATAAACTAATAGACTTCTAATCCGTTAAAAGTGTTTTATTTAATGCGCACAGACAAAACTTTGAAAGCTTCCAACGTTTTTGTTAACTATGAAACATACAGTTGGGGCAAAGCACGAATTTTTTTCTTTGAAAAGCTAGGCACCGCGTGGTACCGCCTGGAGGGCTATATAATGTGCGTTATCCGAAGTCTCTGTTTTATCTTTCTTTCCCAAGTTTTTAATTGCTTACAGATTCAAGGATGTGGAGGCAGCACAACTGGATAGAGCGTATGTACTTTTTTCAGCGAGTTTTTCTGTGCATGTTAGCTTGTCTCTCGCTTTAAGCATTTATTAGATGCACTTGGCCTTTAGATATCCATGTTTTAAAATTTTTAACCCTGAATATTTCAAATTTATTTTGGATTTAAATAATTACATGACACGGGAGTTAAATTATTATCGAATTTTATATTAAAAACTGAACATTTACGTATTAAATTCAGTATACATAGTGTAGCTACGAGATCTTCCATGTCATAAATGTTTTAATCTAGAATAAGTTTAAAATTTTATACCGACCTATAAAGTCCTTTAATGTAAAAATATCAATCTTTCCAATCCCCTTACGTATTTGGAATTTCATAATGTGACTACGGACAGATCTTTCCGTAAACCCAGTTACTTAAGTAAACAGAAGATGAAATGAAAACAATAGTGTTTCATAATTTTTATTTAGTCTCTGAACTTATCGTGCCAATGTGCTAATTAATTTCGTTATATACGTAGTGTCCGTAAAACGCTTTAGCATTTCGTAAACGCGTCCCGTGATAGTCAATGTTTGTTTGTCTGGTTAATTACAAGCGACGTAATTAAGTTTCGGCTGACGGTGTCGAATGTCAGGGTGCTTTGCGCATGCAAAACGTCATATGTCTATTAAAATCAGGTACGTTGTACAGATAAAATAACAACTTATCTTTGAGAAGCCACTTTAAAGAACTTATTTACTTTTGTTATTCTGAGAAATTTTACATAATTTCTGAGAATTGTAGGCGTAAGTCGCTTCGTTAAAAATTGCCCGACAGTTAAACGTATCAATAACTGAATATAGTATGCTATACATAGGTGACAAAAATACATGTTTATCTCATCATTTAGTGAATTATACTTGGTGGTGTTCGAACGCTATTGCTACATATTGAGTCCCATACGAGGAAATGAACCACTGGACTACGTAGCTTAGCAAAGTAGACAAGTCCTCCAAGTCAGGTCATCATCCCACCTTTCCGCGTAGCTTAAACTTATATAAACCGCCAATACTATATATCAAAAACATACAAGAACAGTTCATTTAAAAAGGATTTTTGATTTTTTTACGATTATCACTTTTTAAAAATATGGTTAGGCCCTTGAGCACAGGGGTCTGCACCTTCACCACCTGGCTTTACGATAGCTGCGCCACTGGCACGTGGTCCCGACATCTGAATTTCCACAATGCCCTCCCTGGTCCTCGATTTGCACGTAGCATTGATTACCGGCGCCCACCGTTGCCAGTTTCCATTAGCGCCAAATCTATCTTCGTACCGAGTCGCGCACTGTCGGCGGCGGCCGGGCGTTAGAGTGGGACGCAGCTACGCCCGCCGCCTCGTCAGCTTCATTGACAGTCCGCGCGGCGCGCTGACAGCACGGCCCCATGACACTACAGCACCCGCCGGGCTCCGCGCCGCTCAAACCCTGCACAAACAAAAGCCCACGCTAAGATGTGACTTTCTGCGTTGCCTTTCGCATTATGCCTTCGTAATATTTCGTACGCGGAGTGATTTCGACTTTTCACTATTCCTATGATTTACGTGCTCATTGAGGATCGGGTGTGTAGCTAGATGAACAGCGAGGTCACGCACTGGTTCGACGAGTTCGGCCCGTTTTACTATTCGACTTGCACGTACGATCTAAAGAAACACGTATCGACGTTATCTTCACTTGTTTTCGAGTGTATTTTTAGCCTATGTTGGCCTAATCTATATCTACCGATGAAATTCTAAAAATAATAAGTGAATTCATTTTATTGATTAATTATCGTGTAAAAGTTATCGTTGTGTTCGAGTAGTAACAATACACCGCCGGCACTGATAGAGGCATCCTGATGATAAGTTAAAATAAATAAAACAATTGACGTTCGGAGATAAATTTGAATCAATAGAGAACAAAGTTAAAAAGTACTGCAAGATAATTTGAACTCCGCTCCTGTTGTTATTGCATTACAAAGTGTATACAAAGGAGCTTTCTTAGTCTACATATATGAAAGATGTAGAAGCAGAATGGTAGAGGTGATATAGCTTCCTGTGAAACAAAATGCACCGTTCAGAGTCACAATCGGAGAGGTTGGGTGCTGGGAGTGGCGGGTTTATCACGAAGAGTTCAGCTTCCGAGCACAGCATGGCTACCGGGGTCGGTGCTAGTAGTAGTAGCACGCTACCACGAACCCTAAGCACCAGCGTATTGCGAATCAAAAATCGATCTTCATTTTGGGAGAAATTTTGGGACGAACGCACCAGGCGCGATGCGTGAGTAAATTTTTATAACGATCTTATTTTTAAAGACGAAATAAGTAGTATTTTTATTTTACAAACACTATCTTCGACAGGAATAACTTATAATAATATAAATACTAGGCGGAAATCAGAATCACCATTCTTTAGATAATGCAATAATGTGAAATATAGTAATATTTTCAAAAGTATTCGAGTTGGTATTCTAAACAATTTATCCAACTCGATTCTAAACGTAAGACTTGAACCTATGTTCAGTTAAAAGAAATAGGATGGATTGTTATATACAAACCAAATATATTTCTCTATATAACAGAGCAATAAGCTACAATAGTAAAACACTATGAAAGGGCCTACCCGCAGCTTCTTGACAATCCCTCTAATCGAGAAAACGTGTACGTTTAAGTAAATCATTTCTTGAAATGTTCAGGCTATGAAGGGGAAACAGCAACGAAAATATATGTGTAATCCATTAGATATTAATAAAATGGATATTAAACTATAAAACCAGACGAATTCTCTTAAAATATAAATTTAAATAGACAATAATTGCTGTTATTATAGATTCTATTCCTTGAATATCGCTTCTAGGTAGGAATCCAATTTTCCCCATAAAGTGATTATAAACAATTTTGATAGATCGTATTTTGAGAACCACGTAGGCGGTAAAGCTAATTAATATATCTGTGGTCTAATTCTATCTTGACATCTCGACTATTTCAACCTAAAAGTAGTGTAGTACTTGTTCTTTTGGTTTCTCTATCTTTAGATTTTTTGGTGCTTGCCTCAAATTTCGTTTATAAATAAAACGTAAGTTTTACTACATTATTATCACAATATAATTCTGCGCAGTACTATGCTGATAATTCCATGGGAAATAATAATATGTGTGCGTACACATATATGCGTATATAGCCTTGTATGTTACAATTTTGAATGATAAGATTATTTCGCGAACCAATTAATAAAAGCGGCTAGAAAAAAGAGTGTAGAACAGACTCAATGTATTTAGTGTTCGACTGAAAAAGAAAGATACGTTAGGCGTTTAATTACTTATACAGATTATAAAACGATAAAAATGCAGATTACATTTATAAGAACAAACCATAGATAAGGCATCGTATTAACATGAATTAACATGATATTACAGCATAGAATAAAATATGTGTTAACGAAAGATAAGTTTTTAACTGGTGCATTTATTTACAGTATTTTTAAAACATCTATCTAAGAGAAATATTATATGATTTATTCGTTTGCTATTTAATTCCATCGAATTTTAGTGAAATAGTTATAAATCATAAATAAAAATTGTGAAACTCAGAAATCTCTACGTTACAGCCCGTGCATTGATTTTTGCTGAGCAGTTTAAAAATAGTCCCACGTTTCAGCTGGTTTCAATCCTGGATTTGATATTTTACTTTCAATATTCAATATTGAAACATTGTTTCCTTTTATATATCTTCTATTGAAATAAATCTGTTGTATGAATCTATTGCGTAATATGCTTTGAAGATTACGTTAATGTATACGATATATCATCTAAACGCAATCCTTATGACATATGCATATAACAGCCTATCTTATATGTTATGTATTTTAAAGTTTCTTTCGTATAAACAAAAATCACAGACTATAATGAATATAATTATTTAATAATAATTTGTAAAACACCTTACCATTATTCACCGACGTATTTCTAACAAGAAACATGTTAAAGTTTCTGTTAATTAATATGACTGATATATTGTGGTATTTTCACACAAAATTGAATTAAACAAACAGAATAATCAATTTAAACGATATAAAAATATGCTGATGTACTGCCAAAACCACTAAAACATTTTTGTTATAATTCCAATACAAATGCAATTAGGTAGCGTAAAATAATGTTGACTTTGTCTAGTAGAAAACACAAGAACAACGATAAATAAATGGCAAAAAACAATTGAACGTTGCAGAAGTTACAAATTCTCTTAAGCAATTCAATTACGGCTACAGTCGAAACAAACCTCAATATTATTGATATATTACTTACAGCCGTGTATTATCTATCAAAGGGAAAAATGTAAGCTTATAATCACCGAGGCTTGCGAAGATGCTTATAATGATAACATTTTTTTATGAAAATGCCTCTTAAGACGCCGAGAAGCCTCTTTGAAGTCATATTGCCCATGACATTTCTATCAAAACTCAAAGGTCACAGATGTGATTAAAATAATTCGATAACTTCACGTGGAATCAGTAATTTACTCCTTATTTACAAAAATTAAAAAAAGTTTGAATTTGTTGAGATTTGTCCTTAAATCTAAAATACAGACATAAAATGACTCTATTTAAACGTTCACCATAAACTATACAATTTAGACAGTACAAAACTTTTTGACTCAGAATGAAAATAATATAATCTATCCTATTTTCGCTCCCCGATACTGCACCAATATCCAATGAAAAGTATACACGTTAAAAATCTTCCTCCTTTGACTACTTATGGTAATAACTTTTATGATGTTAATTAAATATTAATCCTGTTGCCTACGGGAGTAACTTGCCTAGATTCTGCGTGGGCATCTAATTGGAAACACGTGCTACAGCGAATTCACTATAAATACCATCTTATTGAGAAAGAGCAGATATCATCAGCATTAATTTATGTAATCACCAATAAACTTGAATTATCAACAAACAGTTTGTGTAGCTCGTTAGTTTACTATAAAATAGTGCATAGTACGCGAATTCTTTAGACATATTTTTGTGATAAAACTTACGCGGGAAATTGAACATCTATACTCTATGGTTTACCACAGAGTTAAACAGTTAAAATGCATTATAAACATGTCAATGTCAACAGATAAACACGATTTTGACTCTTTCATTTAATAATTAACATATGTACATACTTTCATAGGCCTCGTAACAAACCTTTAAATAAAAGACATGTTTTTTTTATCGACTTTTGGCGGGAAGGTAATGTCGTTTCAACACCATGGATAAAGTACGTTCTTTAATGCTAGCCTGTAGTCGTTTAAATTGTAAGTTTAGATTGATAATAATCATTTGCGTAGCCTTGCCTCTAGCGTTATAAAGCACTCAAACTAAAATATATCAGAAATATAAGGCAACCCTTGAAACTTTTAATGGGTCCACTGTATTCGTTACCTATTGGAGATGAGTCTGTGTTGAAATTTCCCTTGAGCCTACGTAGGTGGAGATAACAATGGAAGTATCATAATCATAATCAAACAGCGGTAAAACCAATAAATGCAGTGATTTATAGAGAGAAATTGAAAACTTCTTAACTGGATATTTGTTTTTTTTCGCGATTGATATGTTTTCAGTACCTACATAATTTATGCGCATGTTATAGAATAAAATGAAACGTTTTAAACGGATTTAAACATGTTATTATGTGTCTTAATTCGTTAGTTGTATTATAAAAGGTAATTTGTTAAAAAAATGTCTGTTTTAATATTAAAAGTATTGAATTAACTAGATACTACAAATTGTTCGTTACTGGAAATGGGGGTGGATCAAGATCAAGTTGTCAAAAGACTAAAGCTTTAGCGAAGCAACAGCCCCAATGGTTGTCAGCTTACCGAGATTTCAGTTTCTCGAGAGAACTTCTTTATTTGTTATGTTGGTAGTTCCTCAAATAATATTGAATTTCAATTCTAATATTATAAAGAACAGGGTTGGTGAAAACGTAATTTCTCAAAAACTTTCTTATATTGTCCGTAGTTTACGCGAGTAATAGACAATAGACTTTTAAATAAAATACGTTTAACGGTTTAAAACTTGAAATATATTGTTAAACTTATTTTTCATTATTTTTTATTAAATTTTCGGATGGTCTGCAGCAGTCGTGGTGACATGGTCAAAAAATGTTTTATTAACACATTTCCGTAATTGTGTAAAATGGGCTAACAGTTAGGTTTGCTAAAAATATTGGGTGTGGCTATTTTTAACGGAGCATACATAATATGTGACGCAATATTTTGAATCTTGTTACAAACGTGTGAAATATGCCGAAAGTTTTTACGTTGCCGACAGAAAGACCTTTATAAAAGATACTTTATAACTGAAACTATGTTCATTATTTTTTTAGATCTCGGTGAAAATATGAATAATATATACATATTCTTATGAGAAAGTTAGTTTTGGGTTTTTTCAGTATTGCCAAAAATCAATTTAAATAGAAATATGTTAAATATTTGAAAACTAATATTTTTCACACGTAAGTGCACATCATGGCACTATATAATTTAAAAATCAAAAATAAATAGATTTTTTTTATCA